GACGCCTCAGCAGGCTGATGGCCTCCATGACGCCTCAGCAGGCTGATGGCCTCCATGACGCCTCAGCAGGCTGATGGCCTCCACGCCACGCCGCATTGAAGCAGCCATTTCTGCTAAAGGACCCCCCCCCCCACCAAGTATTGAGGGCATAACTGCACAGAATTATTTGAAGGTTGACTTTTTTTTGTATTATGAACACTTTTCTTTTATTGGTCGGATGAAATATGCTGATATTTGAGAAGGACTTGTATAAACTGACCTGTGTTACAGAAATAAACTGAACTGAAAACTGGATAATTTTCCTGATCCGTTCGTTAAGATGGACAGGAGACCTCGGAAAATGGACGGATTTTCTGATCCGCTCAGAATTCTTCTTCTTCTGTTTACATTAATGAGGCTGAGCTGATTGGCTGCTGGAATAAAGAGGATTGGAGGAAGAACCAAATATGGAGAAAAAGGAGGAGAAAAGCCAACTGGTCTGAGGAGCAGCAGCTGGTGGAGGAGAATAGAGGAGCTGAAGGGGGATTAGCTTCCAGGGCGACTGGGAGCTCATTGCTGAGTGAGTTAGCTGGTTATTGGACCTGCTCTGCTCTGGAACCTGGTTACACATCTAGGTTTAAATTCTTTAAAATATTTATGACTGGGAGCATTTTATCGTCTGTAATTACAGCTGAAATTCATCTGTTTTATGTTCAATGTAAAAACGTTGCTGCTGCTGAAACTGACTTCCTCTTTATTCAGGTGTGGATCGGCCAATCAGATTCCTGCGTCATCCAGGAGATTTTCCTGAATCCGAACAAAATGCATCAGTTGGTAAAAACCAGCAGTCAGACTGGAAGCTCTGGTGAATACCAGTGGAGGCTTCCTGGATGCACTAAGAACCAGATTCAGCACAGAGCATCAGAGAGGGCTTTAAACGCACCTGATACTGCAATGCATTCTGGGCCACGGTTACCAGGCAACAGTTTGTTTACATTCCAGAGATGGATAGGATGCTGCCAGAGACAGAACCTGAACTACAGAGTGGTGATGGCGCCGCTGAGACCAGCGGATCAAAGCGTCTCGCATGGCGGCGGCAGCTCTAATTCCCACAATGCACTGCGGTTTGTTCACCCTTCATTTGGTTCAGCAGAACTTTTTTCCATAAGAAACTGTTTCCTGTGACCATTAGGTCCTGAAACTGATGGTGGAGCGGCTCACCCGGCGCTCAGCGGGGCGGGGCTAGCAGCAGCCAATAGGACGCTTTAAAAACGCCATAAACATCCAGCAGAACATATAAATAATAAATACTAAATATAATTAAATAATAAATATTTATCTAATTATCTGTAAAACAAAACAGGTTTATTCCTGTTCATATTTAGTTTCAATAAAAAAATTAAAAGTTGCATCTAGAGGAAAAAAAACTTATTACCCATGTGGTAGAAAAGTTCATCCCTGTACATGAAAATTCATACTTTACCACGGTTCTTAAACGCACCACATGCAAAACATGGAAATCTATGAAAATGAGTCATTTTT